TTCCCTGGCCGGGCCCCTGCGGCCGCCGGTCTGGGGGGGTCCTGAGCCCGAGAGGAGCGGGCAGGGGGGCTTTTGAGACTTGGCGGTCGACTCCGTGGCTGCAGCACTTTGGGAAGAAGCGGGAAGAAGCGGGTGTCCTAGAAAGGTGAGGGGGATGAAAATGCTCTAGATAGAATGAGAAGTCTGAAATTCCAGTGAGAGTCTAGAATGAAGAGACTCCATCATAGACTGACCAGAGGAGAATTAGCGCCTCTTCCAGAACAGGCTCCGTCCAGTTATGCACTCCCCTTTCTTCACTCCTGAGGTAAACATACCCTTCCCTATACACACCCAATACTTATTAATTTGCATAATGATGATACGTTATGGACACATCTGCCTTAGACCGTTAGCACAATCAAAAAAAGTTATGTAGCCGAAACCGGGTTGGCTCAGTGGATAGAGCGTCGGCCTGCGGACTGAAGGGTCCTGGGTTCGATTCCGGTCAAGGGCATGTACCTGGGTTGCGGGCACAGCCCCAGTGGGAGATGTGCAGGAAGCAGCTGATCGATGTTTCTCTCTCATTGATGTTTCTGGCTCTCTGTCTCTCTCCCTTCCTCTCTGTGGAAAATCAGTGGAATATATTTTAAAAAAAAAAGTTATGTAGAACCTTTTTTATGGTAATGCCTTTTAACAACGTAATTCAAATATTTATTGAGTCTCCACTATGTGCAAGGCACTGTGCTCATTTACATTGGGGACACAAAAATGAGCAAGACGTCAAGGATCTTACACTTTAGTAGAATACATGAAACTATATCCTATAAGGCAGAACTCACATGTGCAATGTGTTACAATAGGATATGGCTACGAGAACATAAGCTTGCCTGGCACATAGCACACCTTCCATATTTGTTGGATGAATAAGGAAATATTAGGAGAATGTGGACTGTTTCAAGGAAGAAGTGCTGTTTAATAAATACCTCTTATGATAAACACAAAATGGGGGCAGTCCTGCTATAATCTGACCAAGAAAATCCTCCATTCAAATTCCTAACATTGTGGCACCTGGTCTACATATTCAAAACATCTATTGTCTAAATTGTGCCTGTTAGGTCTATTTATAAATAAACTAGAGGACCAGTGCACAAGTTCATGCATCAGTGGTATCCTTCGGCCTGGCCTGCAGAGAACGGGCCAAAACCGGCTCTCCGACATCCCCTCGAGGGGTTCCGGATTGCGAGAGGGTACAGGCCAGGCCGAGGGCCCCCACCGGTGCACTGGGGCAGGGAGGGACCGTGGGAGGGCTCCAGGGCATGTCTGTCCCATCTCACTCAGTCTGGATCGGCTGAACCCCAGCAGCAAGCTAACCTACGGGTTGGAATGTCATAGTGACTGGTTGGACGGTTGGACACTTAGCATATTAGGCTTTTATTATATAGGATATTACAGTCAACTTTTCTGTCTCCTCACTAATTTCTGAAGTCCTCAGTTTCTAAACAGGTGGAGAACAGACATAAGAATTATCCATCTCAAGACTAGAAAATCGACTCCTGAGACAGGAAACGTCCTAGCTAGCTATATCTCTTGGGGATACCCTGGGTTTACAGTTGAAGATTTAGGCCTGGGCCTAGGGCCATACCATGGCCAAGCAGGTCTGAGTGCCTTGCACCCAGGACCAACAATACAGGTTAGCAAGTAGAGCCATTTGGCCTGAGCTTCAAGCATGTGAGGACCACAGATTTTGGCTATATCTCAGTGGCAAATTTGAGGAGGAGAATATGATGAGACTTGGTCATTTAAGTTGATTCTAATTGAACTCCATAGATCACACACCCCCGCCCCTTGCTAGATAAGCCTGAGGTAGGAGGACAGATCTACAGATGAGAAGATTCAAAAATCTAAAGCTGTCTTGTTTTACCAAGGCCCTCCCAGGACTGGGTTATGCCCATCTGTGTCCTTTTAGTCTTATAATGTTCAAAGGCATTCTCCACCCACAGTACAAGGCAGACTTTTACTTTTGACAGTAACCACGAGAAGTTTCCAAATTTAAAAGCTGGTCCAAGTTGCTGGTCAAACTCATTTGTGACCACACTTTACAGACTTGCCTGAAAATTTAGGGGCCAGGAAGTGATGGGGTTACAGTTGCTTTGTGCCTGTTTCTTACTCTGACCATCCATCATTCATTGTTGTTTGTGCAATTGCTCAATGGACTGCTTGTTTGGGGTCAGCCGGGGCTGTGTGGGTAGCAGTGTGGTCAGCCAGGCTGAGAGCCAGGCCACCTGGGTTTTGGTCCCAGCTCAGCCAGCCCCTAATCCATGAAGTGAATCCCTTCCTATTCCTCTGTGTCAGTTTCTCTGCCTAGAAACTGGGGACCTCTTCTGTAGTGATGTACAGCCATTCAGGTTGTCACTATGCTAAATGCTCAGTAGTTGTGATGTCATTGTCGGCAGCCAGAACACAGCCGATTATTATTATTATTATTATTATTATTATATTTTTATTTTTATTTTTTTGCTGACAGGTAGAAGAATAGTGAGTGGGGAAAGTAAAAGCAGCAGAGAAAATCCTACCAATGTACTTAGGACCACACACCCTCATCTGCCATTCGGTACAATGTTCTTTTCCACCCTGAAGGCCTGTTTTTGTTTACTCATTTTAGCAATTCTAAGGGCTGCAGCAAGGAGCTCGCTGAGCTTTCATTTCACTTTAAGCAAGAGCACAAAAAAAGCTTTTCATTTCACAAGAGAAACTTAAAGGAGAGATTATTTCAACACCGGGGCTAACGCAGAGAGTAGGGGAGATGTTCAGAGAAAGCTATTTTTGCAGATAACCCTGGAAAAAACACACACAGCAATTGTTTGCATTTATATGCTTTTGTGGTGGAAAAGAAAACCAAACCAAAATAATTTCCTTTCCACTACCATCGCTATAATTTAGACCAGTGGTTCTGTGGAGTTTCAGAAATTACATACTGTCTCTGCCTAGGACTCAGACTCACTAACTCAAAATTCTTGGGACTGAGGACCATGAATCTCTGTTTATAAAAACCTGACTTTCGCCCTAACCGGTTTGGCTCAGTGGATAGAGCATCGGCCTGCGGACTCAAGGGTCCCAGGTTCAATTCCAGTCAAAGGCATGTACCTTGGTTACGGGCACATCCCCAGTGGGGAGTGTGCAGGAGGCAGCTGATTGATGTTTCTCTCTCATTGATGTTTCTGACTCTCTCTATCCCTCTCCCTTCCTCTCTGTAAAAAATCAATAAAATATATTTTAAAAAAAACAAAAAACCTGACTTTCGCCTTTCAGCCTCCAGAAGCTACGGCAACAGCACCCCCTGTGCCCAGGGTGGGGGTGGGGGGACCTCCGGGTTCCAGCCAGGCTCACCCGTCCAGTGGGCCATGGAGCTCCAAGCAGCGGATGGAGAGTAGCCTGCACGTCCCAACCTGCCCACCCAGTGCCTGGCTCCCCCTCCTTCCCAGCCCTGGAGATAGCAGCCCCCCTGCTGCTGACAGCAGTGACAGCATGAAGGCTCAGGGTCGGCTTCTGCTCTTCATCCTGTGCTCCATGGGCTTCTCTGCTGCCTGTATCCTGCTATGCTGCTGGGCCTGCCTGGCCTCCTGCCTGAGCCCCCACCTCTCCAACTCCAGGCCCCTGGCACCAGGGCCGCTGCACTTCAGTGGATATAGCAGAGTGCCAGATGGGAAGCCACTGGTCCGAGGGCCATACTGCGGTTGTGCCATGGTGTCCACCTCCGGCCAGATGCTAGGCTCATACCTGGGCACCCAGATCAACAGGGCTGAGTGCATGCTGTGCATGAACCAGGCGCCCACCGTGGACTGGCTCACTATGATCCTTGCCCTGGAGCTATGCGAGGAGATCGTGGTCTGTGGAATGGTCAGCGACAGCGACTGCAGGGAGAAGAGCCACCTCTCGGTGCCTTACCACTACTTCGAGAAGGGCTGCTGGACAGATGTCAGATGTACCTGGCACACGAGCAGACACCCCGCAGTGCCCACCGCTTCACCACTGAGAAGGCCGTGTTCTCTGTGGGCCAAGAGGAGGCCCATCGTTTCGCCTACTCGTCCTGGAGAACCCAGTAGCCCCACTGCCCAGCCAGCTGCATTGCCTTCACCAGGCCTGCTTCCCATTCACACTCAACCAACATCATTTAATTTGTGGATCCTGCCCCTGCCATATGCCAGGTGGACCGAGGGTTCTTTCCTGCCCTACCCTGGGGACACCTGGAGCCATCTCAGGCCTTCGGACTTGAAGGGGGGAAGAGGGGACCATGGTGACTTTTGTACCCCCCTCCCCATCCCCGCTCCCTGACTAATCTGAATCTTAACTTTGGGGTTCATCCCGCCTCAGGTTCTATCCAGTGGCCTTTGCCTCCAGAGCTGAGGCCCCCCACTCACCAGCTTTGTGACCTTCGACCTTGTACCAGCCCTGGTCCTTCCTCTCTACACTCCCCCTCCACCCACCTTTGGTGCCACACTTCCCAGGCTGATTGCCCTGGTCAAGGCAGTCCCGAGCTTGGGGTTTGGTTCACTGGGCGAAGGGGCCTTTGAACTGTGACATGCCAGGGCCACCTCGAGTGTACAGGTAAACATGTGTTTTCTGGAAAATAAATAAATAAAATATCCACGGTTCTTTTTTTTTATTATTGAGGTATAGACACATAACATTATATTTGTTTCGGGTGTACAACAGTGATTACGTATTTGTATACACTGAAATGATCATCACAATAAGTCCAGTTACCGTCCATCACCATAGTTATAACATTTTTATTCCTGTGATGAGAACTTGCAAGATTTACTCTCTTAGCAACTTTCAAACACACAATACAATATTATTAACTAAAATCCTCATGACTTCTTTTTTTAAAAATATATTTTATTGATTTTGTTTTTGTTTTTTACAGAGAGGAAGGGAGAGGGATAGAGAGCCAGAAACATCTATGAGAGAGAAACATCGGTCAGCTGCCTCCTGCACATCCCCCACTGGGGATGTGCCCGCAACCAAGGTACATGCCCTTGACCAGAATCGAACCTGGGATCCTTCAATCCACAGGCTGACGCTCTATCCACTGAGCCAAACCGGCCAGGGCCCCATGATTTCTTTATAAGTGTGAGTTTGTACCTTTTGCCAAGACTGATGTCAAGGAGTTGACTGCCTATGTTTTCTTCTAGGAGTTTTTTTGGTTTTTTTGTTTTCTGACTTCTAGGAGTTTTATGGGCTTTTAAAAATATTTTTTAATTGATTTTAGAGAGAAAAGGAGAGGGAGAGAGAGAGATAGAAACATCAATGATGAGAGAGATCATTGATGGGCTGCCTCCTGCATGCCCCCAATGGGGATGGAGCCCACAACCTGGGCATGTGCCCTTGACTGAAATCGAACCCAGGACCCTTCAGTCCACAGGCTGACGCTCTATCCACTGAGCCAAACCAGCTAGGGCAGGAGTTTTATGTTTTTATGTTTCAAGTCTTTAATCCATTTTGAGTTAATTTTTGTATATGGTGTAATACAGTAGTCTAGGTTTACTCTTTTGCATGTGGCTATCCAGTTTTCCCAATACCATTTATATGCTTTCACCATTGTATATTCTTGCTTTCTTTGTCATAGATTAACTGGCCCTATATACATGGATTTATTTTCGGTTTTTATTCCATTGATCTATGTGTCTGTTTTTATGCCAATATCATGCTGTTTTGATTACTATAGCTTTGTAATATAGTTTGAAATCAGGAAGCATGATGCCTCCAGCTTTGTTCTTCTTTCTCAAGATTTTTTGGGTTATTTGGCATCTTTTGTGATTCCATACACATTTTAGGATTGTTCTATTTTTGTGAACAATATCATTGGAATTTCTATAGGGATTGTACTGAATCTGTAGATTGCTTTGGGTAGTATATACATTTTAACAATATTAATTCTTCCAATTCATAAGTACAGAATATCTTTTTCATTTATTTGTGTCTTCTTCAATTTTATGTATTAATGTCATAATTTTCTACCTAGAGTTCATGGCCCAACCTATATTATCTCCTTTTAAAGACTTCCTATAAAATCCTAAACTATAAATGTCTTTATCAATCAATTGGAACCTAAAAATTGCCTCAAAATTATTTTTCACAAGTATTTGTTCTTAAGTGAACTATTTAATCAATTAACGAAAAAATCTAGGAATAATAAAACAGCAAGGAAGAACAGTTCAGTGACACCATTTATGTTCCTGTACCTTGTAAAGGGTTCCTAGGATTAAGCATTAGGGGAACTCCTAAATAGAAAATCCCGACCTCCAGGTCTGTAAACACTAAAAATCACTGGAGGTACTTTGTTGTAAATAGGACTTATCAGCTCTCAATTATTGCAAGTGCTAGTCCCCAGGAGAGCTGTTAGGACATTAACTAAAGGACTCTTGGCAAGATTGCGCGTGTTTCTGCTCCGGCCCTGACAAATCCCCCGAGGATGTAAGAATGGGCTTCTAAGGCCCTCAGACACCTAGCAACATGTAGGTAAGGAAGAGAAGCTGGGTCCTGAGGCTTTGAAGAGAGCCAGTGCTACCTTACCTAACTGGAATGCCAGCCAGGTAGGTCAATTTCATCTCCACCTCACAGGTGACACACCCTCAGGTTTGGAGGAAAAGCAAACAATTAGACTGCCAACACATTGGCTGGGACAATGAGGAGAGGCCAGGGGAATGGAGTGACTAAGTCACTATGTCCCCTGACCAGGTCTGCACGGGGAAGCGGGCCAAATTCAGGCTATTGGAAACCGACAGAGCATTCAGGGGACAGAAGAGGTGAGACTGCACTAAAGGCACCCTTTTCACGTGACTAATGGCCCATGTTGAACTCTATAGGTACTGCACACTAAGAATGTTTTCTAAATTATAAATATAGTTTCTTTTCCTACTGCAGGGAGCTCCGGAGTTGAGTGACTATATCTAATTGGCATCTATTAGAGCCTCTCTCAGTGATGTGCCCTCTGACTAGTGCTTTCCCGGTTACTGACCTGATCAGCATTAGGGTTATCTCATGTGGCTTATGGTCTGTGAACAAGCCTGCAGATCACAGCGACACAGATAAGTAAATGGAAGACAACTTTTTCAGCTGAAAAGAAAAAAAAAAAGCTAGAATTGAAAAGTGTTACCATTACTTGGGTTACCTTAGATTACACTTACCTAATGTGTTAGGTAACCTTCCTAGTTCAAGAAGAGATGGATTGCTGAGGGATCCACGGATGAATAAAGTACTCTAGGAGCACCCAAGAGAAAAGTATAAGACCTGGGGGACATTTAAAAAGAAAGCTTTGCCCGGCCGGTGTGGCTCACTGGTTGAGCACTCACCTATGAACCAGGAAGTCACAGTTTGATTCCCAGTCAGGGTACACGCCCAGGTTGCAGGCTCGCTCCCCAAGGAGCATGCAGCAGGAGGCAGCCGATCAATGATTCTCATCGTTGATGTGTCTATCTCTTTCTCCCTCTCCTTTCCTCTCTGAAATCAATAAAAATAAAAAAAGAAAGCATTGATATGGAAAGAGAGGAAGGAAAACTGAGGAGCTGAATCATGAGAAGTGGCAGAAGAATCTCACACGTGCTAATTAGGAATGCTGCCCTGCGACAGTTTCTCAGTGCGTTAGCTCCCCACCAGGTGGTGGCTGCCCTTCTCCTCTCCTAGGTCAGAGATCACACATAAGTGGCAGCTCTGCTCTTGCCAGTAAATTATACTGAATATGGCACCAGACTGCTTGCCTCCTTGTCTAGATCCACTACAGGAGCAACAAAAGCTCAACAAAATGGGAATTGACACAATTCAGCAAATTCTGTTGATATTTTTAAGCTCCCACCCTGTGTAGGGCATACAAAGATACAATCATTACCTTAAGAAGCTTTCATGAGCAAGACTAGGCACTAGAAGTTCAAATGCTTCTGAGCTTGACACATGTCCTTCACCTTACCCAGGAAAAAACATGGAAGGTGGTGCAGACCATAAAAGGACAATGTGGTCTTTGACTACTGACATTTATTTCTGGAAGAAACTGAAAGGGTTGATTCTTACTACCCATACAGTACATTCTGTCATGGATTTCCTGCTTCCTACAACACGTTCCCTTTGATCTTTAGGGTCCTTCTCCCCTCCTCTAAATGAATAGTGTTTACAGACCATTATGCAGCAAACAGCATCTAACACTCAGAAAGAGAACACTGAAGCACAGCCCAGTAGTGTTGCTCTGGCCTATTCCTGTGGGATACCCTCACCTCTGGACATACACACATCAGTTAGATTATATTGCAGATTCAGTTGTTACTAGTGTCCTTGCTTAAACCTAGGTGTTCTTCCCCCCTCCCCCATGTTTGAATGCATTGTCAATACCTCTACGCTGAATCATTATATCTATTTCTTTCTCCTAATTACCATGGCTACAATCCTAGCTCATTACCTCTGACCTGAACTACTGTAAAATAACTCTGCAACTGGCCTCTTGCCTTTAATCTCTTTCTTCTCTTGCTACCCCTCATGCCTTGCCTAAAACTAAGGTCTGGTCACATCATTCCCCTGCTCAAAAACCTTCAGTTTTCCTTGAAGAGAAATAATATAATTATTATTATAAGTATAGAACATTAAATAAAATATTATATTATTATACTAGAGGCCTGGTGCATGAAATTCGTGCACTGGGGGGAGGGAATCCCTCAGCCCAGATTGAGGGAGGGCACAGGCCAGGCTAAGGGACCCCACCGGTGCAGATTGGGGCTGGGGAGGGACGCAGGAGGTTGGCCAGCCGCAGAGGGATGGTGGGAGGGCTCCAGGGCGTGTCCGGCCCATCTTGCTCAGTCCCGATCAGCTGGACCCCAGCAGCAAGCTAACCTACCCGTTGGAGCGTCTACCCCCTGGTGGTCAGTGCACCTCAAAGCAAGCGGTTGCGCAGCCTTAGCATATCATTAGCATATTATGCTTTGATTGGTTGAACAGACCGGACAGTTAGCATATTAGGCTTTTATTATATATGATTATTTAAAATATATAATATGCTATGATATATTGTTTTATTATTATATTATAATAGGCTTATAATAAGAAGTATTTTTTTAATGTGGGTGACACTATACATCCCTGAAAAAATAAAAGAATTCAGAGATCTCACAGATTGCTTTGGGATCATTGTGTAAACTGAAAAGAAAATATGGTCATTTAAAACCCAAACTGACAATAGCTGCTTTTAAAGGAGATAATGTAATTCCTACAGCAAAGAAAAAATTCTTCACACTGCCTCCTCCCCCTCACAGAATTGCAAAAAGGGAGTGGTAGCCAACAGAAGTCTCTGTCGGTTCTTCTGAGGCTCAGAATGGGAGCTGGAACAGATGATCCATATTTTAGCAGGACACATTCATGAGTCCTTGGCTATAATAAAATAAGAAAAAATCAAACAATAAAAGGGGAGCCCTATGGAAGGGGGTCAGGAAAATGCAGAACCTTTAAAGGAAGAGAGAGAACCAAGCAACATGGCAATATAAAACTTCGCCATTGCCTCCATATCTGCAGCAAAGCCTAACACATACACAAATATCCTGTGTGAGGAATATTTTCTGGGGGCAATGAAATGAGTTGTTTCACGTCTTGGGGCAATGTTGTGCAAA